GGTTTAGGGCTTAGGGCTTGGAGTCCGGATGCATTGGTGTGTCTTGTGTCTCAAGCTGAGTGGTGGAGTGAACACTGGCTGCCTTCACACCAAACACCCCTGGTTTTGATGGTAGCTAGGCTTGCACTCACCTTGATTCACCCTAAACTTTGTCTACGACATGTTCAGGTGGGTAGCTACCGTTATAGGAGCCTTATAGAAGGTCTATGCAATATATACCCTAAACCCTAAACCCTAAACCCTAAAACCATAAACCCTAAACTCTAAATACCCTAATCTCCCCACCTGTAGTTTCCTTTAACTTTGCTTAAAGATTTGAGCTGTTGAGGCCTGGAGCCCCCAACACCGACCCAAACTTAGCTAAACCTCGATCCATTGAACCCTGAACAAAGCCTTGAGCCCTAGGCCTATATACTATAGAATCCCAAAAACAAAATAACCAAAACTCTTGTGGGGTTCCTGATTAAAAACTACAGTATAAGATACCCCCAAACCCTACTCTAATTGTTAAGGCCCCTACATTCACCCTAAACCCTAAACCCTAAACCCTAAACCCTAACCCCCCACACCTCAAACGCTCCGCCTGGAGCTAAGCCTCCGAGCCTTTGACTCGTGGCACCCCATGGCATGTCGGGCCTGCCATGCCCGCTCCGCTTGGCGACAAGGCCTCTGATCAGAAGCTTTTGGGTTTAGGGTTTAGGGTTTAGGGACATACTCGAGCGTTTGCATAGGTTTTCTAGGGTGTTCGAGCATTTCAAATGAATGTTGTAGGTTGGCAGAGCTGTTGTAGGTTTGAGCAGGGTCTCATTCGGGTGTTATGGGGCGGTTTTCGGGTTTCGTGGGGCGATCTTGTGTAAAGTTCAATGAATTTGTAAACCAATGATAACCTGACACCTCTGGATTGCGGCAGACCCTCCTCCTGCGCCTACTTGGTAGTCCTGCTCGTACTCCTCCTTCATTTCTGCTACTACCACCACCACCACCATCAACAGCACTAGCACCAACAGCACCACCACCACCACCATCACTATCACGGCCTGAAGCCCGACTCATACTCTTTCAATAGTTGCTATTCTTACATCGAAGAATCCTCCGCGCAGGCCAGTGGCCCCACCACTAAGGCAGCTGGGCTGCAGTCAGGACCCGTACCCAGATCCCGGCAGCATAGCTTCAGGCCGACCTTTTCTGGCCCACTTGCCTCAGGGTTTAGGGTTCAGTAGAAGCCCAGAGAACCCAACACCCCTTAATTACGGAATATACCTAAAATCATGATATCAAGGCTTCTATATTTTTTATGGTATAAGGGGCCCCCTAACCTTAATTTGGCTTGATACCAAGACTCCAATCCTTAGAGGCTGCACACCTAGCCCCTATCCTAAACCCTAAACCCCCTAAACCCCCTAAACCCCCTAAACCCCCTAAACCCCCTAAACCCCCTAAACCCCAAACCCCCCATCCTGAACCCAAAGACCCGAATGTTTCTTCCGGATTCGGAAGCTGTAGCCATGTTTAGCCCCGAAACATCGCCCTTCAAGGGACTAAAGGAGGC